TGTTAGGCAATTCTGGGCATCACTGTGAAATTTAAACTTTTGAAGGTGTTGCAATAAAGTATCATTAATCCTGCTCCCAACAATAAATACATCCTCTAGTGTTCTTCAAAGTGCTTTGGGTTTTGGGGTTCTTTATATCTTTGTTTACTTGGCTCTCTAGTATGAAAATATTTCTATTTGTTGTAGTGTTAATTTCTTCAATTGTAGACACTCCTTGACAGAATGGTTAAGTAGTAAAGAATTTAATACTCTGTGCATGTTTTCTTTCAGAATACAAGACCAAAACAGCCAACCAAGGCAACTGATTTCCATCCATTGAAAAAATGTATTCAACATTACATATTAACAATGGATCAAACATTCTATATAAACAATAGATTAAATTAACGAGGTATTAAACAATATATTAAACATTAATGTTTAGGCAATATTAAATGGCTTAAACAATGTATTCCAAGTGACAGGAAACCGGTTACAACATTGGGTCTGTGTGCACTAGTGTTTTATTGTGCAAGAAGGGGGCCTTTGGTAGAGATTTGCTTCAGTCCTGCAGTCTGTGCACTCTGAATGACTTCTCCGTGGCAGGACTGAGGTGACACCTGCACACTGCAGTGCTGTGCCCCTGCCTTGCAGTATGGACAGGAGGTGCTCTCCGTGCATGCACAGTGCTGTGCAGGCCCAACAGGAGTTTCATTTCTAGTGAAGACCAGATGTGGACATGCAGTTTGGGAAGCTTGCAGGATTGCTGCAAATCAAACCCCTGTCCATCCCTTTTTGTGTCCCCCAAGAAGAGAGCTCAGTCCCAAAGCAAAACTTCATGTGCTCTTAAAATTAAATGGTCTAAGTCCTAGAATGCTGCTGCTTTTGTCTTCCTTCTGCTGTGATTTATAAGCATGCAGTTTAGCAGTATTTCACTTGCAAGAAATTTTGTCTGTCTCTTTCAGAAAAATGCCAGTATAAGTATTTTGAGAATGGTTATTTCACCTTGTCAAGAAGAGAGTTCCGTTTAAGGGAAGTGGTCCCGTATAGATGTAATACTGGCTTTGTAACTGCAGAAGGACGAGACGAAGGACAGACACAGTGCCAAGAAGATGGCTGGACTCCACCTCCAAAATGCATCAGTGAGTACCTAAACGTGTCAGAGCTCCCTGCCATTGTCACCATCATAGAAATGGTGTCCTGTGGACTCAGAGTTTTGCCATCCAGATTGGTGGAGTTTTCTTACTGGGCAGAGACTCAAATCTCTCATCCTTCAGAGGTTAATCATTCTCAGGCTCTAGGATATACAGAGAGAAAACATAAAGGTATTGAGTAAGGTGGGGAAAATCTAGTGTCTTCTTGGTGACCTATCTTTTTGGATCTCTTTAGCATTAAGTAAATGGTAATGACTGACTGTTCAGTGATTCTTACATGAAAAAAGTACATTTGCCCAAATTTACTCCCAATGTATGAAGAAATGCCTGTGAACCAAGACATTCAGCCAGGAACTTTCTTTAAATGTGACCTAACTAGAGACAAATAGGGTTCTTTATTTGGAACGACTTTCCTCTCCTGACCAGGGGTGTAGTATAGTAAAAGACTTAATTTTCCCTTGTTGGGATACTGAGGCTCATAATATTGACCAACTTTAGCTGCTATTTTATCTTGTCCTTTTATTTCACACTGTCTTTACCTAGGACTCTGTGGCTTCTTTTCTGACCCCTCACAAATGATCACAAGGAACAGGAGTACAAACCATTTGCTATGACACTAAAAATAATAATAATATGTAGCAGAAGGAAATAATTGAACCTAAGCAAGAAGTATTTATGCTAAATATTACTTCTAGACACATATTTCTAAAGATTAATGGAATAGATAATATGTGAACATACTGCATATTTTACATGAATATTCTGGCAATGCAGAATTAGTAATGTTTCAAATATACCAACAGGGATGGTGCTTCCAAAGGGCAATGTTTCTGGATAACAAAATGCACTTTGTTTTACTCTACAGAATTATGTAAAGCACCAGAGGACATTTTGATTCACCACACAAATAAAACTGTGTTCATGCCTGAAGATAGAATTGAGTATTCATGTTTGGAAGGATATAAAACTGCAAATAATATGCCAACTGATACCACAAGGTGTGGCATAAATGGTGAATGGAGTCCAGCACCCGAGTGTCTCGGTGAATATTTTTGTGTTTGTTAATTAGCATAACTCTGTATGCACTCTGTGAACCTTTTTTCTTTAAGACTTTCTTTGGTTTTGTTCTAATCAGTTGCATTTCATGTACTTTCTGTAGGGTGTACATTATATATTAAAATATTTTGTCTTTGTAGTAATAGAATGTGCAATGCTGACATTGCCCAATGGAGATTTTTATCCCAAGAAGGGTAAATACCCCAATGGAGATGTTGTGAAATTCACCTGTGCAAACCAATTTGTAAGAGTGGGACCTGCCTCTGTTCAGTGCTACTCCTTTGGATGGTTTCCATCACCACCAGTGTGTCAAGGTAATTCTTCTGTGTGGTAGTTTGGTCCAGGCCTTCCTTGGTGACCAGTTTTTAACAAAGGAAGTGCCCAGATTTACCCAGTATTCCCTACGATTTTTATGTAAGCCCGGGGTATAAGAAGAAAGGAGGAAAGGCCTTCACTCTCCTTCTGGCGGCTGGGAGGTGCAGGTTTCCCTTTCCCATTTCCTTGTGAAATTGTATATAATTGTATATATAATTGTATATATATTTCAATTGTATATAATTGTAACATAAATGTAAATATATTAATATATATTGCTTTAGCTGTCTCTCTCTCATTTTTGTTTTTCTTGGTTGTTTTTTTTCCCTCTTCTCCCTGAGGTTTGGGGGCGGGGGGAGGACTTCTTGTGATAAGGTTTGGAGACTTGGCAGGGAGCCAGCTTCAAACCATATCATTCTGTTAACTTTATCATAGTAGGAAATAGAATCATAGAATCAGATGGGTTGGAAAGGAGCTCTGAGATCATCAAGTCCAACGCTTCATTTTTTTTTTTTTTTTGAAATCCAGTCCGGGTTTTTCTCTATTCCTTACTCTGGATAAAATCCAGTTCAGCTTTCCCCTCCCCAACGACCCCCAAGCGGCCCCAGGTCCCCCCACAGAGGCACCACAAGGTCCCAACCCCCCAAGGAATGAGGATGCCTTGGTCCTAAACACTTCTGCAGACACCTTCTATAAGCCATTCTTGCTCCAAAAGACAACCATCCCACCTTCATCTCTAACAGGCCAAGAACTAGGCCTCTTGAGCTTTCAGTGTTGGACTTTCTGCTAGCTTTGGTTATGCAATATGAAGTTATGAAGTTCTGCAGTAACTGAAAGCCAGTTGGCAAATGGGTTGCACAAAATAGTAATCAGGTTATTGATTGTAACGTTTGAAAAATTAGTTAGTGTTCAGAAATGCATAAATAATGTGCAATATGGCAGCCAGGAGTGATTCATTTGAGTAATGTCCTCTCTTACTATATTCTAAATGTCCTAAGTTTTGCCATTGCCTAATGTTGATACCCCTCAGATATTGTATCCTATGTTCTTTTTTCTAATCACATGATATTGAAGAAACAAAAAAGCTGGGCTGGAGATGGCACAGAACTGGACCCAAGCAAAAGAAACCCAGTGAAGGATTTTCCTGTGAAATTCCTTAGCTTCATCTAGTAGGATGAATAAATTCATGCCGAAGGAAAAATATATACCTCTGTACTTATCCTTTTTAAGACAGAGTACAACTTACTGGCATCTGAAAAGAGTTTCTTGTGCTGGTGCTATGCCCTTTCATGAGGCACATGGGCTTTTATGAATCTTGGCTTTCTTCCCACTCCACCAATTCTCTTAATAGGAGTTCCATTCACTCCATCAAAAGTGAAATCCTTTAATATGTCCTATATGTATCACTTGCTATGTGATTTTTAGAACATAGGTTGTTATTACTTGCAGAATGGTCAATTTTTATTTTTTTTTAAGAATACTGAAGTTGCCATCCTTGTAACATATTTTTTCTCTTAAAACTGGGTTGGTTTTATCAAGCACTTCTTTTATCATAGCAGGCATTGACAGTGCATGGAAGTAAGAGACATGAGTTAGCCAGGATCACACATATCTGTTTGTGATCTCCAGCCCACCATGAATCCAGATATTCAAAGGCATAAATCAATGATCCGTTTAACCTGTTCCACTGATTTTTCTTAACTTTAAACAACAAATTCAATGTGTTTTATGTTGTACTTTACTGTGCTTGAAGTACTGAGTTCAGAGCATAGATTTGACCTCTTGATTTCAGTGAAGGCCAGAGGCTGTGGACCTCCCCCTGAAATTACCAATGGAAGTATTGCTGGTGGCTCTGAGGAACAGTATCAACATGGGGACAGAAAGCAGTATGAGTGTAACATGGAATTTAAATTGGTTGGATCAAAGGAAATAGAATGTGTTGATGGACAGTGGTCACCTCCTCCCTCTTGCATTGGTAATCTACTTTAACACTACTTATGAGAAGTGTAATTCACTGTAAGCTAATACATCACAGATATTGTCACAATTAAAATTACATATTTGCAGATATGTTATGTTCAAAATCATGTTGTGAATGAAAAGTCAGGAAAAGCCATTACCTTTTCCTGTCACTACCACTGCAACAATGACAGCCCAAAGCAGGAAGTGCTGTTCTCATACAGAGGTGACAGCACTGCAGTCCTCTAAGGGACACTACAATGGATTTCAGTTCTTGTACTAATTCTGACTGAAAGTGTACATTACAAATGTGTAGGTGCATAATCAATTATAATTTTGACTGATGTGAATCAAGGATTCAGGTGACTTGAATTAATTGAAGGTTTTCTTACACTTTAGGGTTTATGTATCAACAGTTTGGCAAAGTAATGTTAGCTGAAACTGCTTGTGGGTCATGCTACAGTGTTGGAAAAGGAGGGGAAAAGACAGAGAGGGATTTAGTAAACTGACTAAAAGTTATACACATACTCGAGTTGTGTTGTTTAGTTGTTACAATTAATGGGAGTAGGCTTGGTTCACCAAATGCAAATATAGTTATTTTTAAGTTCTTTCAGCTATTTATATGTAACTCCAATATTATTGTGGAATACTTCTGCTCTTTTCAACAGAAGACAAAATGCCCTGTGAATCACCTTCCTCTATTCCGAACATTGCTCTTTATCAGGCAGACCAGACCCAGTTTTCACATGGTGATCAAGTAACTTGTGGATGTAAACCAGGCTCTGGCAATTCTAAGCAAATGAAAATAAAATGTCTTAATGGAGAATGGAAGCCTTTACCTCTTTGTGCTGGTAATCTCTTTCCATCCTATTTTCATAATATTTCAGATGTGAGTGTGAGATAGTTCTGTTCAAAATGTCAAGGATTTCAGCAATCAGTATGTAGCCGGACATATTACAGTTTCATGCATCAAAACTAAGTGGGTTTTATTTACTCCTCTTTTAAATGGCAGCATGTTCTTCATCCTGGAAAGACTCTGCACCTACAACTTTGTAAGCACTATGGGCAGGTCAAAGACACTTGCATAGTCGTTGAAAATCAAGTAATAAAAGGAATTAATGTTAATAGCCACAGTGTGTCAGGCTTATCCCATCCTCACCATTTTTATGTGCATTAGTCCTTTTCACAGAATCCCAGAATGGGTCAGGCTGGAGGGGACCACAGTGGGTCATCTGATCCAACGTCCCTGCTCAAGCACCCGCAAAGTAAAGTTTTTCCTCATATTCATATGGAAGTTTCCATGCATCAGTTTCTGCCCATTGCCTCTTGTCCTCTTGTTTGGCACCACTGAGAAGAGCCTGGCTCCCTCCTCCTGATATCCTTCAGATATTGGTAGATCCTGGTAGACATTGATGAGGTCCCCTTCTCTTTTTGCTCATTTCACAGCCTTTCTATAGTTTAAGGGAATAAAACGTTGGTGAGGTTTTTTATTATTATTATTTGCTGCACTCAGCAAAAGGGATCCTGTCAACATAAAAAAATTGCTTGGGGACTGAGAACAGTCTCTGCTTTAGGTAGCTGGAAAAAAAGTCTTTGTTTCTGTAATCTAGGAGTCTTAGGCATCACTTCAAATTACAGTAAATAAAAACCCACTTTCACATGGACATGCATTAAGAAATTGATGATATCTTCATCAGTACATATTATCTGAACTGAATCTATTTTTTTTAGCTCTTTTTGTTTATTTTTTTCAGATCCATCTCCTCAGTGTGAACTTCCAGTGGGTGTTGAGTTTGTAAACTCTGGTCGACATTCCATGTCAAAAAGGAGGACTGGTTTTTATAAAGTTATACATTACAGATGTACATCAGCTGACAAAAATATTAAACAGGCAACTTGTGTGTCTGGAAATTGGACACCAGAGATTGAATGTCCAGGTATGTTTTTAGATTTGCATACCATTTCTTCTTTTTATGTAGGAATGATAAGTGACTGTTATTAAAGCTTCTTAGTGTTGCTGTATAGTCTGAAATAGAAATGCTTACACACTTCTGTATATGTTAAAGGGTAGTCACAGCCATCATTTGAGCAGGTTTAGAGAAGCACTACTTCAGTGAGGCAGACAATGATCTCTAGTCTGACAATTGGAACAGTTGTCACTGTCACTTCTGATGTGAGAAAAGATGCAATGATAAATTTAAGCTCAGTTCTTCAAAAGGACTTTACCCTGATACAAATGAGAGCACATAGCTCAAGCTCCAGTCAAAGTTCCTTTATTTCCTGTAAACATTCCAAGCTTTTCAATTCCTGTTTTTTCTTTTCTTCCATTTTTTCCAATTGCTTCCTAGTGAAACAATGAGAAAAATGCTGAGTTGGCCGATTCAAAAGAAAAGACCTAAAGGAGACTGCCCTATTATAACACACACTAGAGGCTGAATGCCTGCAGGACTGCCCTTATGCATGGCAGAGCAGGATATTGCCCATAGAAAGCAGGACTGTAAAACAATCATTGCCTCATGTCCTGCTTTGACTATACCAGATTTATGGGAAAAGATGCATGGAAATGGGAGTAGCACACAGCACACAATCCTCTGGGGAACGTTCCCTTTTAAGACCAACTGTCTACCTTCTCAGTTTTCTGGAACGACAAGAGAAGCAACAAACCAAGCTCTGCAAGTCTCCTCAGATGTCCCTCCTAGATCTACCTACTTCCCTCCTTTTTTCTTTCCTGTGGCAGGAAGAGCCTTTCATTCCTTGAGTGGCAAATTTGAAGCCTATTTCTTTGCTTCCGTTTGTGATTCTCATTTAGCTCTATCAACTAAGTCTGAAGAAAAACAAAACAAGAATTCCAGAAGTTGGTTCCATTTTCCTAAAATAGTTCACCATAGAGAGAGGAACAGGGCAAACACATCAGAGTGTGCAGATGTGTGAAGGAAGCTCCAGCTTAGCTTGATGTGGGCAACTGTGACAGTCTTTTCTATGACTCTGAAAGCATATGAGCATCTGAAGGCAGCTCTGGTGTTTCTGAAGCAGAACAAAATGGTCGTTTTATTAATTAAAGCTTGAGATAGCTACTGGAGAATTATCCAACATCAATGTTTTCTTGGTTCTTTGTGTTTTAATCTGTGATGAACTACTATATCTTATGTTCTATTATAACATGAATATATGTCCTTAGCTGAGGAGGGTGTGTGCCCACCTCCACCTCAGGTGTCTGGTGCACAACAGACAACAGCTGGAAGAAATTACAGGCATGGGAGTAAAATAGCTTTTTCATGTGCCAATGGTTTCCGGCTCATCGGTGCAAAAGAAATAACCTGCATAGAAGGGAAATGGCAATCACCACCTCAGTGTGTGGGTCAGTACTGGGATATTTTTTTCTATTTCTTTTATTATGACTTACTGTGTTATGCATTTGCACTCACCATTAGCAGGAGGATGCTGTTATTTACATAAGATTATCATGAACAGGTGACTGCAGAAAAGCAATAGAACATAAGTTGCTAAAGAAAGTGTAGTTAAGCAACTGCAGTCTTTTTATTTACACAGACTGATCTAAGATGGCATATAAAACTTTCAGGTAGTCTCTCAAGAGCTGTGTGCTTATTTGTTTGTGTAATATATTTGCATAATGGAGTCTCAGTTTTGACTGGAGGCCTTAAATAGTATCCCATAGTCTGTAAATCAGCATTATTTATTACTTAGTTGCAGTTGCAATATTAATTTTCTTGCATTATTGTTTATCTTTGTTTTCTGCAATTTTTAGAAAGACCATGTTTGCCACCACAGCCTGTAGAATGTGCTGATGCTCCCAGGCTGGAAAATCCAAACTTAAAAATTGAAATAGAAGGGAAATCAATTTATCTGACTGGTGCTAAATTTAAATATGTTTCTCGGTCTGGATACATGTTAAATGGAACAACTGAGATAACTTGTTCTATGGGAGAATGGACTTCAGCTCCTAAATGCTTGGGTAATATAAAAAAATACCTTTTTTTTTTTTTTGAAGTGTATTTAGCAATAAAATGGAAAGACTTTTAAACTGAAGCTTTATTTTGCTGTGGAATCTTATCTTCCATCATGGATGTCTTCAGAGCAATACTGATTGGGTGCAAAACTGACTTTCTGAATGTAGCTTAGTTTTTAAATATACCTTTGTATTCTTGCAATCTTTGTTCAGTTCATATCTCTGCCAGGTGAGTCCTAGGCATATCCTTATAATCCAAGGACATGTTTTCTCGAGAGTCCAGTAGTGACTAAGAGTTGCTTTGGAGTCTCAGTGGTGGAAATCACTTCAGTATAGTAAGGGACAGAAGCCTGTAGTCAAATTTTCTGGCATGTTTAGAAACAGGAACGAAATATTTTGGTGACTGAAATCTGTGCCTGTTTAGGGGAATAATTTATTTAATCTTCCCCATGCTATCTTTTATATAAATTATTAGTTAACTGTAATTATATAATCCACTGTCAGCAGATGACTATGCTGATGTTAGAAATAGCTCACTAAAGCATCTGTTTGGTGGAAAAAGTACACTCCTTTGATGTGTATCCCATTAGCACAAGCATCAGATTTCTGTTATCTTTTCAGAAATGTCATGTGGAAGTATTCCAAAAGTTGCCAATGCTCAGTTTGAAGGCAGAACCAAGAAAACTTATGAGCCTGGTGAAACAATTCGCTACGAGTGTGATGCAGGGTTCCTGATTGTCGGTTCCCCTGAAATTCTGTGCAGAGAAGGAAATTGGACAGCACCGCCCTTCTGTGAAGGTATAGGTTCTGCTTCTAAGTAGTCCTTCTCAATATTGCATGTGAATTAATAGAATTTCAACTCAGGCATGCAGGTGAGTCAGGCCAATAGAGCCAACAGGTGACTTGCTTTGAATGGGCTGCTAAAACACCTCTTTTTCTGACTCTTGAGAAACAAAAAGCAGCGTAGATCAGCAAAGCCATCATTTCCTTGTGGGCTGAAGCCAGTAGCTGAAACTTAGCTGTCTGCTGAAATCAAGCAGGCAGATGGTTATGGAGGAATGCATCTTGGCTGCAAAGGAGGAGAAAACTAGTAGGGTAATGTATCTTATTTTCACATCACTAAAAATGTCAGTTGCTGACAGTTACCTTCAAATAGTAAATAAATCTCCTCACTCTCCAGCCCATTGGTACACAATGCCTTACAGCACCAATCTGCACAATTGGCTGATCTCTGTGACTTCTTTTCTCTTTTTAATCACTTTAGGCAAAAATAATATTGCATGGTGAAGCATTGCAGAATAAAGACCAAATTATCTTCTTTTTCTACCTGTAGAAAATGGTCTGCATTACACAAACCATTTTTGCTCATCAGGAGCTCCGGAATGCAATGTTCTGTGGTTCTTATATTGCTGTACTGCGGTCTTTACATGCAGCTCTCTCTTTTCAGATGTTAGCTGTGGACCTGTACCTGAAATCCCCAATGGTCATGTTGCAGGCACTCAACAGGAGAGGTATCTGCCCAGTGCCAGAGTGCATTATCAATGTGAAAGCAATTTTCAAATGATAGGTGGAAATTTTGTCACTTGTTTAAATGGTGAATGGTCACAAGCACCAGTGTGTAGAGGTAAGAACCTGTGCTTTCACCTTGCCTTTTAGCATAGAGGGGACTGTTTCTCTACCTAAACACAGTGAAGACTTGACCTTTTCTACTTCTGTTTTCTTTGGGTACCTCAACTTTGTAGTTTCTATTGCTTGCTTGCACAGCCCTTTAATTTAGCTCAATGCTTCTAGAAATACTGGGAATATTTCCATCAACAGGAAAAACGTCTTGAAGCAGCAGGGCCAAAAATGTGCTGTGCTGTCATTCTCCTGCATGTATATATTGGTATTGCTCCAGTGTCCACCATTTCAACAACCTTCAGTGGAAAGACACGTAAGGGCTCCTGTCTTCTGTTCAAAGCTGTCAGGAAGTATCTGAATGGAAGCAGCAGTAGGGGAGAGACGAAACTCCCGGGCTCCCCTCTGACCAATGCAGATCCTAGCAGAGACCCAGATCTAAACCATGTAAGGTCTGCCAGGGCCATAGAACTGGAAAGATTGTTCCTGTGACAAGAAATGGCGATGAGCTGTGCTCCTGTGCCCTGCCAAAATTTGTGGCTGCAGGGTGAACAAGTGCTACTTGGCTTTCACACAGCTCCTTGGAGCTGGCTGCGTTCCCCCATCCCTGAGCAGCATAGGCTGACAAGCTCCTCCAGCGCTGCCAGTCCTCCAGAGCTCTGCACTTCAGCACAGTGTCAGTTTGGCTGTTACCTCTGTGGTTTCCAGGAATGCCAGGGCTCCCTAGGGAGGGACATGGACATGCAGGAAGGCTGCTGTGTCTTCTGTGACATTAAGTGTAGCTACAGAAACACTGGCTTTTTCTAGAAACTCTTATTGACCCTGCCCATCTCCTGAGAGTCCCAGATCATTTTCTGCTGCCACTGTCACACCTCATTGCTTTCTCCATGGTGTGACCCACCTGAGACACAAAATCTGTACAGAAATTGTAACCAGATTGATTCCTTTAACTTTTGGTTGTATAGATGAACATCTCAACAACTGCAAAGGTGACTGTAGTCTTGTCTCTTTTCAGATGTGACATGTGAACCTCCTCCAGAAATTGCTGGTGGTAGGATTAATATTAAAAAGACAAAGTATCTCCCTGGGGAGACTGCTAACTATGACTGCTGGCAAGGTTTTAAGATGACTGGGACTTCCACTGTAGTGTGCCAGAATGGGACCTGGACAGAGCTGCCAAAGTGCAAAGGTAATTTCTCTCTCTCTCTCTCGTCATACAGTCGCCTGTCAGAGATTCTGTAATGAGGCTGACTCAGTGGGATTTACTTTTCCAAATTTCAGTACCCTTACCATGCACAATTGCAATGTATACGGCACACTCAGGAAAAAGTAATTTTCCCAGGAATCTGTTCAGATGAGTGACTCAGGTGGCTTCGCTCAAGAGGGCCAAATGCCACACTGTTCTGCAGGACAAGATGAAGTCCTGCAGACAGCTGCAAGCACTTCATCTGTGGACAAATGGGGTGAACTGGCAGTTGTGAGCCCGAGGGCTGGAGAAATGGGAAACTCTTGCTCTGTTTCACCTGCCAGGTATTTGATTTTCTCTCTGTTTTCCTCTGGTTCTCTTAGAGTAGTGCCAACATTCTGTGGGGTAGCTGGTCACATTTGTGACCAGACCTACATTGCAGTTCAACTCTCGTGGTTTTTGTCTCTGATTGGGCAATTTCTTTCAGGAAAAGGTGAGAAATGTGGCCCACCTCCAGCTATTGAAAACGGAGAGCTTCTTTCCTTCCCCAGGCCAGAATATCAACAAGGTACAACTCTGGAATACAAATGCCCAAGCCTGTACGTCTTGAAAGGATCTCAGTATATCACTTGTACTGATGGGCAGTGGTCAAGCCCCCCTGTTTGCCTAGGTACGTGGAAGCATGTGCTGGGTGGCCAAAGCCTCTGTGACTGCTCCTCCCTTCTTTTTCTCAGACCCTGAGGGCAGAACTTGTGCAGCAGCATTTGTGCTGGGGCTGTGATGCTGGCAGGGCAGAACAGCAGCAAGTCCTTCTTTTATCCTCAAAGAGTTTCTCTGAAAGTTAGCTCGTGTAGTCCTTTCTGCTGCCAGGAGGTCTGCAAGGAGAGGACTTTGGCTGAACCCCCCTCTGTGAGGGGATCTCCACCTCTGTGCAAAGCTCCTGAGGGCTCCCAAGCTGGGGATGCTGCTACAGGCAGCAGGCTGTGAACAAGGAGGAGTGATCTGAGTGTGTGGCAGTTCTGGGGACATCCAGGCGTGCATCTCTGACATGGTAATGAGAAAATAAATAAATTTAGAGAAGTACAGAGCAGAAGGGAAGGATCTCAAAAAACATGTGGTCAAGTTCATTGGTGCCTGGTGCCTTCCTCACCTGTGCACCATTCTTGCCCTGTGTGACTGTCAGACTGAAATGGCTTCTCCACAGCTCTGTGTGGCATCTCAGCCATGGTCTTTTTTCCCTTTTAGTCTGGCTGTGAATGTCTTTTCTGTGGCAAGAGGATGAGAGCAAATAGCTGGAAGGATTTTTTGATGCAAACAACTTCTGTAGGCTCTAGGGGCAAAACAGTTACCTGTGGTGTGCCTGTATGAAATGCTGACACTCTTCTCTTCAATTTTTCAAGTGGCCTGTACAGCATCAGAAGAAGATATGGACAGAAACAATATTGAGCTGAAATGGTCCAGAGAAGCCAAGCTGTATTCCACATCGGGTGACTATATTGAATTTGACTGTAAAGCAGGATATGTGAAAGAGCAAGAGCCTTCCCACTACAGAGTGCAGTGTGTGGAGGGAGTGTTGGATTACCCACGATGCAGGCCAGGCAGTAAGTCATCTCCTCTTCAGCCACAGATTAGCTGCTGTGGTGTTGCATTTTTAGTGCTGAAAGGGGAGCAAAAAGCCTTTCCCTTTCCTGGGGGAGTGCCTGGGGAGGAGCCAGAGTGCAGAACCCTGTTGTAAGCTACAGGCAGGGAGGGGCAGCGCTCCCAAGAAGCCATTGGGCAGCATTCCTGAGCCAGAAAGACTGCTGGGGAAAGGGCACAGTGGTTTCACAGCATCAGTTGTCCAGTGTGAGATCTACAGGCAAATAATGAAAGTCCTTTTTTGCAGGGAGCTGTACAGTGAGTACGGACCATATGAAAAGCAACAATATTCAACTACAGTCACGCCAATCAAGAACTTCCACCTATCGCTCTGGGGATTTTATTTTCTTTGAATGCAAATGGTGGCACAGACCAGTTTCAAGAGCTGAGAAATTTAGAGCAGAGTGCCTGGATGGAGTGATTACATATCCTACATGTCAATGTAAGTGCACAGTGCTAAGGACACCGGGTAGGAGTTATAGGAGGCAGTTTTGATGGAATTGCCTGTCCACTGGTCTGAGGAGCCTCTGTGGTGCCTGAGGATTGGTATTCATGACTTTCCCCCTTTTTTGTCTTTACACAGAATCGTGGTTTGGATAAATGGAAATGGCATGAAGGAGGCCAGCTGCAGAAATAAGAGAGCCCTCAGCCAATGCAGTGATTTGAGCTCAATTTTTCCTGGTGTTTCCCATTTTGCTGTGCTTTGTTTGCAGTTTAGACAATGTTCTGCCTTGGAATTTGTTATATTATTTTTATGATTGGATGATCGTGTTTGCATATTATCCACATTTTATCCATTTTTGTAAATGTATTTGCATTTTGTCCATCCAAATGGCTGTGCTTGCATTTTATCCATTCTATACTGATCTCACTGTTATTTTTATTAACAATTGTGTCCTGAAATAGGCTGGCTTTGGTGGCATACTGAGACAAGAATTAAAGCTCATGAGTAATTTGATTCTCAGCACTTGTCTATTCCTACTTTCTTCTCCATGTGCTTGCCTGGAAACTACCCTGGGGTCACAGCTGAGGTGAGTGTCCTGAGTACCTGATCAGGAGGAGCAAGTAAGTGGAGCCCACAGCTCCACCTGCTCTTCACAAACAAGGACAAAGTGCTTGTGGAAAGCAGCAGCAGCCTTGCTGTGGTAACTGTGTACTAATGGAGTTCATGATTCAGAGGGGAGAGAGGAAAGCAAGTAGAGTACAAATCAGGCACCCTAGGAGAGCATGATTTTGACTGTTTTAGGAGACTAGTAGGTGGGATTGCTTGGGAGTCATAGAGAAATCCAGAGAAGCTTACAGTCTTGAAGGACAGAATCTTACAAGCACAAGAATATTCCAGTTTGGTCTTCAGGAAGAAAAACACATCTACCAGGACTGGCTTGATGAATCCGGGACTTGACATAGATCTCTGAAGCAGAAAAGAAATCGATGTACTGGAGCTTGAGGCAAAAACAATCTTAGCCTGCTAAGTAACCCCAATACCTGTTTTGCTAGAAGAACATTTTAGGAGCCCTGGTTAATATCATGTTCTGTTCTGCTCCCTGGACCAAAGGCCTTATTATAGAAAGGAGTTGTACGCACACGGTAATAAATTAGGTAAACTAGATGTTTGAATAAGATATAGAAGGCCCGAAGCCAGGATTTTGCAAGCTTGAAGAATTCAGGTCACCTAATTGAAGAGGTCAAATTGAGGAAGACGTCCATGGTGACCACGAGAGGGATGAAGGCTTGAGGAGAAGACCTCTACAGTAGAAGACTGCACACATCAGGAAAGACTCCACCCAGAGACTAGCCTACTTATTAATATGATGTAACCATGTATCCGAAGTGTATAAAATGGCTTAGTTTTGCACTTTCAAGTCAAACAAGTTTGTCCAGCGCAAGCTGGCTTGTTCCCAATGTTGAATGGACAAATACCTTGCTGCTTAAAGATACAAAAGTCTCTGAGCAGTTCTTCATACTGAGGTTTTTTGGCATCATTAGGTCTTCACCTAAACTCTTCAGTTGTAGCACTCCCTTCCTAGAAAGAAGTCATCCAGACTCTTAACATGGTGCAGTTTTTTAGATTCAGATTTTACTGCATCAGGGGCTAAGTGATAAACAAGTATTTATTTCCTAAATGTGGTTTAAATACCACATATGTAATAAGGGGCACGCATGGATTGAAGAGTAAACCTTCTATTTTCTGTTTAATTGGATTTCGTGTAGAAGGTAAAGCTAGTTAAAAGTTGGTGTGGCACATACAGTATCACCTTAAGTATGCCAGCCTGGAGTGTATCACATTGTTATGTGCCCTGCTGAGAATCCAGCTCTGGGCTTCCTGCTGTGAGGCAAAGATTTCTGTAGGTTACCAACAGGTAGTCCAATCCAGGACTTGGATTATCACTGCTGTTGTTACAGTCAATGCATCTTCCCTTGTTCTTTAGCACAGAGCTCTTAAGCATAACTTCTGTGATTGCTGGTTCTTTACAGAGCTGCAATGTAGTGTCCCAGGTCCTGTAAAACGCTGGGATCAGTGGAGTATGATGCTTACCCTTTGTCACAGCTTGCTGCATTCTGCATTTACAATGTGCTTCTCAGAAAGGCTTGTTAGATGAAGCAAAACAGATGCACATGTGTGGCAAGAGTTCAAAGGTAACTTGCTCTTTGCTTTGGGTGATATGGGAAATAAATAAAATAGTGAATTATCTTGCCAGTTTTACCATGCTGTGTTCTGGGGGCAGAGCTCTATAAAAGTCTAATTAAAAAAAAAAAGTCCAATGTTTCTTCTTTAGAATATTTGTTATGTGGTGCCCGTTTTTTTCTTTAATTCTCAGCTGCTTCTCCACTTGAATAGGCTATCTCTTGTAAGAAAGCGTTGTATCCTCTCTCTGCCTGGGTGTTTTTTAACCTTGCCAAAATTCAAGGTGGGGTGAAGCCTGTATATTATAATGCTTTGCTATAAAAGCAAAGTAGTTAGGCTACTGTAGTCCTTTTCTGAAGTCTACGAATCACAGATCAGTTGGAAAATTAATGGTGTTTCTACTGTATCTTCTAGGAGCCTCATTAAATTTTCCACCTGAATTGATTAATTTAACATGTGTTTTCATACTTCAGAAACAGTAACAGACTGAACTAGCCCAAAGTGAGAACAAAGTTTTAAGGTCACTGTAAAGCTGCAAAGGTAGGGCAGAAGGAGAAATGGGAGGGATTTCACATTTGATAATTCTTCTGAAAGCATTGTAAGGTGCAGCACAGGCACACATTAAGAAACCACATCTCCTACAGGAGATATGCGTGAGAGGTAGACTGTGTGTATAATCACGGGTGGGTGGTGTGTGGATGATTAGAACTTTGGGAGATTAGTGAAGGAAGGTTCTTTAGAAATTTGTTGTATTGCTGATATGGAACCTGAATGTATATCCCACTGATTGCCAGTTAATTATGTTCTATTAATAAATCAATAAGCCAGTTTGATTTTGATTTAGTTTAAACTAAGTAAACTGTGCAGTTTTCCCCTCTCACACCTTTATGTTGTGATTGTAGATATTACATGATGTGAAATGCCATTATGAGTTATAGAAGTTGTGTGACAGTGGGTGAAAAGGCAAATGTTGATGATGAAAAGATAATCTCACTATTAATACAGTGGGACAGCACATTTTCATGAAGATTTTTGGGCAAAGCAGTGACTGGTTCTAGAATTCCGTGGGCTCTAATGTTATCATTAAACGGAAGTGTAACAGGAAGCATGCTGTTAGGACATGCTGAAATTATACTGGTCAGAGGTGCCATTTCATCAGTGACTAATTAAGCTTCTATTAACTAGTCATCATTAGTTCCCTATGGAATACTCTGACTTCCTCAGATCTGTCTTCCTGACACAACATGGCTTCCAAACACTGATCTCCAAGTTATTCAGGTTTGAACAAACACTCTGAATGTTGATGTTAAGCCTCCACATTGAGCAAGAAATGAACAAAAACTTGAATAACTTATTCTGGCCTTATACTGATTCTACTTTGTGCAGGAGTATTGGACAAGATAACTTCCTGAGGTCCATTCCCACCTGTACTTTCCTATGCTCTTATATTTTGACCTGCACTTTTTCTCATGGTGATATTTTCTCTGGGGGTGATATTTTGGCTGTCTGGCTGCATCCACAGCAATATGTGAGTGTGGTCACACCAGTTCTCAAAGCAATAGCTCTGCTTCCTTAGATAAAATCCAGCTGTCTTTGGCTACATAACTACTTTGACTTTTCTGCCTTTTTTATGAGTAGGAAGTAAGGGTACTCTTGAGATGGCTTTTTTCTGCCTGCCTTAGAGGTCCTGAGGCACGGTTTGCCTATGCACTCTGTTTTTTTAGAGGCTAGAGATGACTAAACAAAGTCAGACACGATTAAAGACATTAGTTTTAAATTGATAGACCATGGAAGAGGTGAGGAAGGAAAGCAAGTTTAAGTTCCTGATTTTATTTCCATTTAGTTAGGGTAAGTTTAATCAATGGTTTAAGAAGATCACAAACACAAGACCAGAAGGGACTGAGTCTGGTCCCTTGATTTGTGATTGAAGATGATTTCTTTGTACAGGCCTACATTACATCCATACAAACATTGCTTCACTAGGTTAGATGAGTCTTCTAATTTTTAGCCTAAATTGATTCATAGGAGTTCTGGTTTTGCGTGCTGATGCTCAAACAGTTTTAGCATTGCCTGTATTTTTAGACAGGCAATTTAGTACCATTTCAATTCCAGTTTTGGTTGAGCTGTAGCTGAAGTTATCTTTCACTGTGTTTCAAGTCCATAATTATTTGGCAAGTGGTTTAATGACCCAAAAGCAGTTTGACAAGACCCGAAGCAGTTAGAGCTTCATGACATCAGAGGATACAACATTTAAAATTGCAGAATTTTTAGAACCCATGCCTGCAGCATATATTTTTATAGCTAATTGGTTTGAGCCACTGTGTCTGGGTTGAAATCGAAGCCTTTTTATGCTCTGTTTCAATGTCTTTCCAGCTCTCTGAGCTTCCCATATGAGTTAAGGAATTGGAAAGCAGCAGTGTCACTGTGCTGCTGTGACAGGGAAGGTTAAACCATCCTAAGTTCCTCACCAGTGCGGGCTGCTGTAAGATTTTGCACAGGTACAGAAGCATATGAATACCTATGGTAATGTGGTAGGATTGGTGCAGAGGGACAAGTGGGACTGCCCTGGTGCTGTCAGAGCACGTCTGTCTGCAGTAGCAGCACAGGCTTCAGTGCCACAGAACAAAAGGAACTATAGATCTGGGCAGTGAATTTCTGTGAGGAGCTGTTTTCTTGGAGCTCGACTTTGACAGGGGCAAAAAATATCTTTTCAGTGGTCAGGTATTCACCAGTAACTGCAAAATGGATGCAGATGGATCATCACAGGGTCATGGAGCAGGGTGAGAGTTCATTTTCCACATATGAGTCATTTGTCTAGGAAAGGGGAAGGAAGAGATATTATGCTGTCTAAAGAGTTCTTTTGGGTGAAACAGCTAAATGCCAGTTTTCAGCAAGACCAAGTTCTTAGAAACACAGCCCAAGTTAAAAAAAAAATTCCAGCTGCCTTTTAAGAAGACAAGAAGTTTTAACTGCTTTAAATGCTTTGGAATTCAGGTTTGATTTGAGATCTCCTCTGTAGACACACTACTTTTATCCTAGAGCAGTACACTAACTAAGCCAGTAATTTTAAGGATATATTGTGTGGTTTTTTGGGAGCATATACAAGACAGATCTGTGTATACTCCATGCCAGT